TTTGAGTTTTGATATACTTCTAAGATGTTTAGTTGATTGGGGGTCGTGACCTAGGCGTTTCCTGTTCTCAGGTGTGATGATGGCAGCGTTCCTTGTCCGCCATTCCTTGATGGCTGCGAGAAAGCTTGCCGCTGTCGGTGTGATCCTAAATGTACTTGGTAATTTCTTCTTTGCCATCTTGTTGGCTAGTCTGTCCACAACTTCATTTCCGTGGACTCCTGAGTGGCCTGGGCACCATCGTACGGTGATCCTCAGATTAGGGAAAGCTTGGCGTAAATAATTCATTTGTTTGTACGTGTTCTTGCGGTCGTCTAAGTTCGTGATAGGTAGTTTGTTTGATCGCAGGTCTTTGATGACCCCTTGGTTGTCTAATAAAATCGTTGTTCTTCTTGTGTGTGGTGAGGCCGTTCTTAATGCGAGGATTAGACCCATTTGGACTCCCCGATATTCTGCTTGGAAAATACCGTGAGATCGTGCTGTGCCTAGATGTGCTACTAGAGATTGGTTAGTGTTTTTGCACCACGCTGCAGCTGCAGTTGTGCTTGTTGGTATTCTCGAGCCATCGGTAAAAATTACCACATGCTCTAGGGTTGCCGATAATTTGTTTGCTTCAGTTTTCGCCAGTTGTTCGTTTTCCTGAATGACGGTCGAGTAGTTATCGGGCTTTGTGAGGATGTCTGTTGGATCCAGTGGGATTTGTTGAACAAAGTCTTCCAGTTCTTTGCATACTGGGTGTTGGAAAAATCGGTGGAACGGGTTGTGGTGGCATGTCGGGTTCGTGTTCTGAGCCTGCTTAACGAAGTGGTAAATGGGAGAGTGTGGAGGTTTTGTCAGCGCTGTTGCTATAAATTTCATTATCTTGCTTTGTAGCCGGATTCTTGGTGGTATGTTGTTCAGGTCGTGGTGGGGAAAGATCGTCGGTGTCGTTGAAGGGCACCCAGAGCTGCTCTTGAGCACGTATTGTCGATTGTTGAAAGTTGATCGGTGAAGTATTCTGGGGGTTGAAACGGGAGCCACACCGCGACTCCATAGTCGAGTGCAGTGTGGACCGTGGTCGTCATTAGCGTTCTCATCAATGTGGGAGAGACACCCCACTCCGTTTTGGAGAGTGAAGCTAGGAAACCGGCCCGTTTCTTCCCCTTCTCGATGACGTTTCTTCTATGTTCGTTGAATGTTAATCTGTTGTCGATCATGATACCTAGCCACTTTGCCTTCGATTCTGGCTTGATATTTTTCCGGTCTGCAAAGTTGATTGTTGGGTCGTTGTTGCTGGTGTCTTCTTTTGGTTCGAAAAGAACCCAGAAAGTCTTTTTCGTGTCAAAGATTGCGCCATGGTCTTGTGCCCACAAATTCTGCCTATAGGCCAAGGTGTGAATTTGTGATTTGAGCTGGTGATTGTTCATAGCCGTGGTTAAGAGTACTACATCGTCTATAAAACCTAGAGCTGTCGCATTCTCGATATTGTCAGTAGTTTCCAGTAGGGCATTATTGTATAGTAGGTAGAGTAGAGGAGAAAGTGGGGACCCTTGCGGGAGACCATGTGTAAGTTCAAAAGGTTCTGATACAAAACCATTGAAGGACATTGTGGTAGATCGGTTTACACTACAAGAAATATAATGTTTTCTGGGCAGAAAATTAAATTATTGATACACAAAAATATTGAGAGGCCAGGAGAAGGGCAACAAATAAATAAAAATATGCATCTTGTTCCCTGCGGTGAGAGCTTCACTCTCCATATTTTTCCGTATTTTTACAGTCCATATTGATAAGTGTACTAACAATAAACCTTCACAATCATCCAATTACAACCTGTAACAAGCACTGAAATTTGGCTCATTAGTGTTTAGAGACACTTTTGATTTCTGAAAATACTCATAACTTTTTCAATTCCGGTCCAAAACGCTCGATTTTGGGTGCATTGGTAAGCTGGAATTGTCCTCCACATAGTTCATAAGAGGACCACACAGCATGCTGGTCTGCTAAAAAAGATATCATCTTTTTTATACATTTGTACATACAGATCCATAGAATGATTGTCATACTAGCTACATAGTTCTTAATCTTATGACAGTTTGAGGGGAAGAGTTCAGCTTTCTAATGCACTTAAAATCGAGTGTTTTGATGCAGATTTGACAAAGTTATAGGTGTTTTCAGGTATCAAAAGTTTCTCTAAACACTAATGAGCCAAATTTCAGTGCTTGTTACAGGTTGTAATTGGATGATTATGAAGGTTTATTGTTAGTACACTTATCAATACAGACTGTAAAAATATGGAAAAATATGGAGAGTGAAGCTCTCACCGCAGGGAACAAGATGCATGTTTTTATTTATTTTTTGCCCTTCTCCTGGCCTCACAATATTTTTGTGTATCAATAATTTAATTTTCTGCCCAGAAAATATTATATTTTGTGTAGTGTTATTAGGAATTGGTGTAATATGTTGATGGTTCTGGTTTCGAATCCTTTCTTTTCCAGGATTGACAAGAGTCTTGGGTGGTGTACCAAAGGGAAGGCGGATTTTACGTCAGCAAAGAGTGCGCCTACTTTCCTACCCTTTTTCCATTCTCTCCGGATCCATGATACCAGATGAACTAGTGCTTCGTGTCCTGATTTGTTCGGGCGTCCTCCATAGTGTCCTTCGTGCAGGAGCCTTTTTCGTTCAACCTGTGCTGATAAATGTTTTGTGAGCAACTTCTCGTAAATCTTACTTAGTGTGATCAGCAATGCTATCGGTCGGTATGCTGATGCTGCAGTGTAGTCCGGCTTCCCCGGTTTGGGAAGCATGATCGTCTTTGCTTGTTTCCAGTCTGTAGGGATGAGGTTCGTCGCTGTTACCTGTAAAAAGAGGGCTCTTACGTGATTCTTTACTTGAGTCCAGGTTTTCTTCCAGACCCAATTTTGGATCATGTCCGCTCCAGGTGCCTTCAGCGGAGGGCTGTCTGAGATCACTGTGAGGATGTTTTCTGCTGTTAAATAGTCGAAGAAGAGGGGCATGGATGAGTCCGTCGTGCGGTTACCGTCCAGGAGTGGGAAGGTGATTGTGTCCGGACCCGATATGCGGCATGGTGCTGTTGCTACGCAGGTGGATGAAAAGAGAAGTTCAGCTTTTTCTTTATTGGTGGAGCAGACTTTACCATTGCTGGCTATGAGCGTGTTGACCAGCGTTGATGGTTTTCTGCCTGAAGCGAATTTCTTAGCTTGAAATAGAGTTTCGTGAGTTAAGGTGGATAGGTAAATTTTCCAGCTATCTTCCTTCTGCTTGTCCATGGCCTTATTGAATCGGTTTCTTGCCTTTCTGTAGTTGATTTTATTTTCTTCAGTGTTTTCCGCTTTAAGCTTTCTTCGTTGTTTGTTTGCGTCTTTCCTAAGTGGGTCCAAGGTGTCCGGATTCCACCAGTGTTTATGTTTCCCCGGTGGGGGTTTGTTTGGTGAGTTGGAGTCGAGAGCATTGGTGACTGCCATTCTCAGTTTCCTGTCAAAGTCATCTATTTCGAGCTGGGTTGTCAGTTCTTTAATTTTTGGGAGAGTCTTGTGGAGGTCTGTAAGGAGGGAGGCTAATTCGACTTTATGCCAATTTTTCCTCCCTCCTTCCTTACCGCTTATGTTTTGTGTCGGGGTGTGGTTTTTAGTTTTGAAGGTAGTTATGAGCAATTGATGGTCGGATAGGTGATTGGTGTGGCTGTCGCTATCGATCATGCATGTGTGGATTGCATCATCGAAGTTTTCGTTGACCCACACTAGGTCAATAGACGTACCTTTGGTGTTTGCGGCGCATAAGCCAAAGGTGGGGATGCCTGTTGGCGACCTTAAATAATGACCCCATTTTGTCATTAGGTCGACCAGCTGGTCCGCTAATGGTTCGTGGTTGTTGCTGTGTTTCGGGTTCCAGGTGTGTGAGTGTAGGTTTGGGTCGGTTCCTATTATTGATGGAAGAAGCTGTAGTTCTGTGGGTAGAGATTTGATTAGTGATTCCCATGCTTCAAAGCCTTTTAAAGAATTGGACGGGTTATAAATGCTTGAGATTAGAAAAGTGAAGTCGTGTATTGTGATGGTACATGCTGCCACATCTTGTGATGTGGAAGTGAGTGGGTTGAGCGCTGCGTGAAGGTCTTGTCTGACGTAAATACACGCTCTTGGCCGTGCATTTTCGTTTAGCGCCGTTGGGGTAGGTGATATCAAAGTCCAGTTTGATTGGTTAGGCGGGAGGTAGTCAATTCTATTGACATATGGTTCTTGCAGAGCTAGGATTGAAAATTTATTAGTTAGCTCGTGATTAAAGAGGGAGTGTGTGACATGTTTTGAGTGGCGGCAATTCAGTTGTAAGATTGCTGCTGTGTCTTTTGAATTCAATATTTCTCGTAGACGTTGCTCTATCATTGAGAAGTATTCATTGAGGATTCATCTACTACCACCACGTACGGTGAGCTACTGGGGTTGTGTGGGGGAGCACTTGCCGCAATTCTTGTTGGGCAGTTCGGGCTGAAGGGGTGGTGGATGAAATCTGCGTGGTTAGCTTTAAATATAGCTTTGATGTTAGCTGACGGGTCGAGTTTGACCTTGTGTCTTGCACATGCCGTGCACTTCATTTCTGATTTGCCTTTAAGAGGGCAAGTGTGCGTATGATGATTTTCGCCACAATATGGGCAGAGGGGGTCAATGGTACAGCTCGAAGCCGTATGACCTGACTTCTGACAGTTGTAACAGCGTTGTGGTGGTGGGCCACTCCTAAATGTTAGGTGTTTTCCCCGACCATGCCATATCTTTTGGGCAACACACTTCTGAACTTCTTCGTCACTGCCGAGGCCAATCAGTATCGACGAGTGCCTCTTTGACGGGTCTTCTAACGCTCTGAGATTGAGCCAACGTACGAAGGTCATACCTTTAAGCAAGGTACTATTGCTCATTTGTAATTCCTCACGATGATCTTGGAGGTCAGGATTGAATGTTGTTGGGATACCATTCACGATTATCTCGTGCCTGGTCTCTTTCATCTTTAAGTTCTTAAAGGCTCCTTGCATCCATAGCTTGGGCAAGGATCTTACCTTTGTCGCGTGTGCTGGTGTTTCAAAATACAAGTCAATGTCGTTTGATGGGTGACGGCGGATGCTTTTAGCCTCTATGGCGTTTTCGTCCTCAGGACTCATCTTTACTTGATATGCTCTAAATGCTATATTGATTTCTTGAATCATTTTAGCATTAGACAAGTTGGGAAGCGTGATCTCTGTCCCAACTTCATGCACTAATGTAATTACATTTGATGATCGCGGTTTTGGTGGTGGTCTCGAGGCTGGCGCTCTTTGTTTGGCCGGTAAGGTAGTCGACTTGCTAGTAGCTGATGCGTGTTTAGACGCCGCTAAAGCATATGACGGTGTCGTTGGCGTCTTTAAGGACGTTGTCTTTTGTGTTAGGCCAGGGTTTTGGCCTAGTGCTTTGTGGAGGAAGGATAGGGATTCGACGATTGTGTCGAGCTTGTCTTCAGTTTCCCTCCCCTTGAAAACGATGTTGCGGGGTTTTTGTGTTGGGTTCATGAGTGAACCCGGGGTGGTGAAGTTGCGCTTAGCGTCTTCGTACATGAATTGATCGTACACGGCGCCCGTGAGGACTAGAATATCAGCCGCGGTATCGATGTCAATTTGGATCTTTTTCGTGGTCTTGTGTTTGCCAGCCAAGGGAATGCTTTCCTTGACTACCTCCAGAAGCTTACTGACCATCTCCTTGAGAGATGTCGAGTCAGCTTTTTCTGGGAACAGGTTCTTGATTCGCTGAGAACGAGGGGTTCCCGTTACTTCGGCCGCTTGGAGTTCGGCTTCGAAGCCTGGTGTGTTCGTTCTGGCTCGCTTCTTAGCAAAGCTTCCCAGATCGGACGTCATTACGGAGGGAGATTGAGTTAGGCCTTTGGTAAGGCTGGTTTTATCGAAGATGAGGGGGGTTGATGCAGAGGACGGTTTGGGGAGTTCCTGCGGCCCGACTGGATTCACGAACGCGTTGGACGCGTCGCGAGTTGGAGGAAGGACACTTGAGGTGTTCTTCTCTTGCTGGCCCGTGTCCGACACGCTTTCGACCTCCATGTCGACCAGTATCGCGTGAGAGGTTGATTTGGTAGTAGCGAAAAAGTTAGGAGAATAGACTTTTGAAATTTGGACGAATGCTTGCGCAGTCACGGACCGGGTCACGTGACTAATTGCTAATTCGTGGTAAAAGACCTCTTTTCCTTTCTGTTTCTCCGCATATTTCATCACATCATATTAGATCACCGCAATCGGCGATCTTAGAGCATCCACTATGTTGAGGGTGTTTTATCGTAAATTTTGCGGTCCTGATCGCAAAATTTAATCATGCGTGTTGTAGCTAAGTTGTTAACCGCATGAAATCCACTATGGGATGATGTAACGTAGGATTTAACTACGATAATCTGTTCTTAGAACACTATACACGCTATGGCAAAGTCGAGACTCAAATTGAAGTATCTTACCACGCCTCACCCAGCTCACTTCTATGATGATGACTACCTTGGTAGCCAGAAAGAACCAAAATGATGGCTTCAGGTGTTGACAATGAGCATCGAGCTTTCTCACATCTTGCTCGATCTTGGTGAAATCAATCGCACAGAATCACTTTTTTTTAAAACAAAATGCGTTTTTTTTAGCAAATTCAGAGTAAACAGCTACCATCAACAAGCTGTGATTTTGAGGGACGAGGGAAGATTTTGATTGAAGGTGGTGAGTGCAGAGTGGGATGGATACAGATAGATCATTTGATGGCTGTTGACCGATTTGATGCGCCAAAAGTCTACGATAAATCAAGTCGTAGGCTTGCGTAGATTTGAACAAGGGGAGTGCAAGATTTGACGCAGTCGTACGGACCGCATGTCTAAAACAGGTCCATAGTAGACCTGTCTGGATTTTAGCGTTATTCTAACGCTAAATCACATCGTTAACGCACCCATAGTGGATGCTCTTACGACGGGTAGTGATTGTACAACCAATGGAGCGTAGAATCATTTTCATCGGTTGTTTCCCAGTTCTTAATAACTTTCAGCAATCACATCCAATCACGTTGGCAAACTTTTTGTTGGACTCGTATTCCTTTGGTATCGATGGCTAAATCAGACATTTGTCGTCAGATCTTTGTCATACTTTTTTGGAGTCTGTTATCCTTCCTTATTTCCGGTTGGAGCATTCGATACTTGTAATGACCATCTTGGCATACCTATCTTTGAGGTTACATTGATGTGATAGTGTTCTGCGTGATTGTACAGAAATCAGATTTATTCAACGGCTTGTGGAACAAAATGAACGTGGCTGAAGTCGTTTAAAATCCGGTCAAAGTTGTGGTTGTTTGAAAGCAAACTTTGGTGGGACTCAACTGATTTGATCAGATCTCACCGACTAAAAACTCTGTTCTGATGATTTTTAACAGCATCAAGAATATAAGAGTCAACTTGTAACTCTGCTTATTTGTACGGTAATTTATTGTACAACTTTATCTCTTATTGGTGTCTGAGGAAGTTCCACTGAATACCGCCTCCTCTTCAGCTTGAAGGCTGAAAAAAATCCTACTAATTTTGTAAAGAGGAGAAATCACATTCTGTGAAATGTGTTTGATGTGTCAATTACAAGCATTCTAGAAATTACAGAGCACATGTAAGATGCACCGCCAACATATTTACCTCGGGTTTTGTAATCCGAGGTATCCTCGGATGCAAAACCTCGGACAGACACTGCCAGCATTAAAGAGGTTCCCAGATGGGAATACGGGTCCTAGTGATCAGATTCCCATTCTGCTACTGTTACACAGTTCCATGAATATTTCCTGAGTAGCCGTTGTGATATATGTAGTCAATATTTTGAAATGTGTGTCTCAATCTGAACAAAGTTACAGCATGTATTACACATGATTTTCTTATCTAGATGAGCAGATAACTGAGCCGACCTGTATGTAGCTGATAGCTAAGGATTTACTCAGATGTTTGCACACATGTAGTGTATGCTTTATGGCTCAGATGTGCAGTGCAAGATGATTTGATTCTCCATTCTTCTCTCAATGATATTCCCAGCCTAGGTCACGTTCTGACCAGGGAACCTATTTAATGCTGGCAGTGAGAAGCTTCCCGAGGTTTTGATCCGAGGTTATTTCCAGGGCAAAAAAATACCTTGGGCGAAAACCTCGGACAAGGTCTGTCCGAGGATTTGCCTCCGATGATGCCTCGGATTTCTCAACCCGAGGCATCTATGCTGGCAGTGATGTGATTGTCCATGATTCATCACATTCCAAGAATTCACTCAAAGTCCATTCTTCCATAGAAATCATGTTCTATGATTTATCTCAACCGTTTTCTTTCAAACCTTTTTTCACAATTTGGACAAGCCCCACTCTACCATACAGAATCTCACCAACTCTTCTCAACCAAAACCAAAGATACCTCAATGTGACAATAGCAGTAACAATGGAGTGGTCATTGAGGTAGCAAAAGAAAAGAAATCAAAATCAAAATCAAAAGTAACCTCCATGAACAAATCAATCAAAGTTAAATACAAGAACAAAGTTGAAGCAATTGAAGTTCAAGATAATAAGAAGGATGAAGTTGCTGGTGGTGTATGAACTCAACATCAAACTACTTCAAGCATGACACTGACTTCAGAAGCGCAAACAGTGGTGGTCTGAAGACTAAAAGATGAAAGCTGGTATTGATTAATCATAACAGTAATTCCAAAGTCAATGTGGCTTTGTCAAGATCAAAAACCCAATTTAAAAGGTATGAATTTTTCTTTACCTACATCTTTTCCTTTACTTTGCTATCTAGTCTTCCTTCCCTTTCCTTTCTTTTCTTCATTTTCAAGTGGTTTATGACTGACAGGTTTCAGGATGCTCAGAGCCACATCCAATCAGTGTTGAATTGGGGATTGACAGGATTCAAGGCAAAAAGACCCTTTTCATCTCTTCTTTTTTATTCTTCCTTTCCCAGTGGTACAGGACGGGTATTGGAGGTAAGCTGTACCACAAAGTATTTTGCAACATAAAAGTGTCATGAAAGTACTTTTCACATTTTTTCAACAAGCATGAATTTCATTTTAATAATTGTCTCAAGTCACTCAAATGTGTAAGATTTGGAAGAAACAGTAATCCAGCCTTGAGATTAGTCAAGGCACGGATTGAGCACTTCATTCAACTCCTCTGATTCCATCTCTCTAGCATCAACTTATTTGCTGCTTGTGTCATGGGTGGCAAACACAGTGTATCAGGAGGTGTATCAATAATCATGTCACTAACATGCTACATATAGATATTCTCGTACTTCATATCCAAGTATTTGCAACAGTTCATGACAGCCAAAGTGTGCTAATGATTATGCAATTCAACTTTACCATGAGGTGCCAAGGAAATTTCATCCAGATCATTTGGTATGTAATCCAATGAAGATCTTGTGCTTTTCACTCTTTTCAAGGAGATATTTGTGTGTGTGACTAACTTGGGATTGGTTGAAGACAAAAAAGGTATATATCTGGAAGAGGATATATATTTGATACAGAATACAGGAAATGGCAATATGAAGGAAGATGAAAACTTTTTTATGCCAATTAAGTAATAATATTCACAGTGCAGTATTCAAATTGCTCATTCAATATCATCACTTAAGGGCACGTTCACTTAAGCAATTTCTGGTGAGAAATCACATTATGCAGAAATTTAAAGTGTCCATTTGGTGGCGCATGTTTCATTTTTTGCATTAAATTTTTTTACAGAATGTGAGATTTCTAGTCAGGAATTCCTTGATGAGTGAATGCACCCTAAATCTCTCAAAGTTCAGTTATGGAAATCAATCAACAAATTATCACTTACATATATATCAAGATTTTTCCCTGCTTCAGGTGCTCTTTTCCTCATCCATTGTTTGAGGAAAAGAATCATATTGTTCACAGTATCAACCCATCTCATCTTTTCCTTTATCCTTGACTTGGAAACCTCACAGGTTGGTCTTCAGGTAGCCAGTGACTTGAGCTTGATAAGTCACTCACCTTTAGAAATTGTCACTGGATCATAGGTTGCTCTTCAGGTAGCTAGTGATGTGAAGTTGAGAATTTACTCACCTTTATTTCACAGGATCATAGGCCTGAAAGCGTTCTGTGGTTTTTCATTAGAACCCTCATCTTCAACATGCAAAAGACACATTCAACAATCCTTTGAAGTACAGAATGGCAATATTCAAAAATCTCCTTCAGAATCTGTGGTCTTAAGCCAGAATGTTTTCATTCCTTGAGACGGAATTGGTGTGGCTCGAGGGGCGCTTGAGACGGTTTGTTTTACCCTGAAAGCGTGGCCCTGGGGCCTAAGATTGCAGCATGTGAGTTTGAGTGAAAAAAGGAAGTGCCTGTGGGTGGCCACACGCGGCGCTGAGTTACTCCACTGAAGGCTCCCCGACTTCGGATGACGTGCTGCGCAGAGAAAATATTGAACTAACAAAAAATAGAAACGCATAGACAACAGTTTTGCCGTGGCCCGAAACTTGAACCCTTTGTCTGACAGGAGGGTGGTGGGCGGGAAATCAAAAAATAACAAAATAACACTTGCTGGAGACTAGAGAGATTTGAAAAACAAGATTCTGAAAACTGAACTAAGATACTAGGAAATAGACTTGTATAACAAATAGTTTTTTGTGTATGTAGTATACTGATTTTGATTTTTTGGATGATAACGACGCAGAGAGGAAAAAGATGGCAACGCTGGGGGGAAAGAGCTTGGTCCGACAAGACGTGAGCGTTTCCTGTGACCCTGGCTGTCCTTGAAAAAAGCTTGGCTCAAATCCTACCATTGGGGTGGATGTTGTGATGCCATTTTTACTGCACCTCTTCTGGGATTTGAGGTCTCACAC